CAATATTCGTATTCACGTTTTATTTACATACAAAACATATAAAAGCATTGTTAGTGATGGTTTCTCCAAAAAGATCTCAACAAATATAATTAAAATGTTATTTAAAATATGCTCCCTCTGTTTCATATTAAATATTATAGTAACGAAAATTTTCGTTACAAAATAAATGTCATTTTCAGTTTTCAATACAAAATTTATTAAATTAGTTATATAATTTATTTTTCTATTGGTTAAAATATAGTTAAGTGTATGAGTAATTTATTTTTATATAAAATTATATAAAATTAATTGTTTGTTTAATTCATGTGCATAAATCTAAAATAACACTTATAATAAAATAGAGACAATATTATAAATATTTTAGGTTGAAATTCACCTAATACTTTTTTTATTTCAAAAACTGTTGCGTGAGTTTCTCATAAATTGAAACACCTTACATCATATTTATTTGATATATATCTATTGTATTAAAAGAGAAGTCTTGACGTAATTCATGTGTGATATCTTAGTTTGGACCATCTTTAGAGTTTTATAAAATTTTAAATAACATTATAATATTTTTCCATATCTTTAATTTTTGTTTGAACTACAAATAAAATAATTTTAATAAAATTCTAACAAAATCTTTTAAAAATCTTTTAGAATCTTTTTCAAGATATAGTTTCAAAAATTATTTGATTAAAATTTTAATTATCATAAAATATAATTAAAAATTTAAATCATTTTATTTATAAACAAAAAAAAAAAAAATCATGTAAAATACTTTTAACAATATCCCAAAATTTTGTTTATGTATTATGTAAGTCCAACTTAATTAATTTTTACATATATTTCAAACTTAGAAATAAAACAAAATATATAAATTACTAATTTACATAATAATGTTTTTAAAAATTGTTACAAAAATACAAATTTATAAATTTTATATTAATAATATAATAAGTCACATAAAAACTATTATAAAATTGGATAGCATACAGAATCAAAATATACTTATTTATTGATAAATTTTACTATATAATTTCCAATATTTTTGTATTAAAATACCCGCACGGTTGTGCGGGTCGAAATCTAGTTTTATATATTAAAATAGAAGTTATGACTTCATTTCATGTACGATTTTTTGAAATTTGGATCTATTCCTAAAAATATCAAATTTTACATAAGCTTATTATCATATCTTTTAATATATTTATATTTTTAGAGGCCAATCATTTTATTTGGAAAACAAATGAATATATTTAAAATGTTCTAACAAAATATTTTAAAAATCTCTATAGAAACTTCTTAAATTCATTTTCAAAAATTAGTTAATTTTACTTTAAATTAATTAAATTGAATATAGTTTTGGTTTATAAACAGATATTTAAAATTAAAAAAATTTCATCATATTCACTCATAATAAAAAAATGAAATTGATTAATTTCAAAATACATTCTACTAATAATTTAAAAAGATTTGTTTTAAAAAATATTATTTTATTTTAATTGTTTTAAATATATATATATATTCTATTAAAATAAAATTCACAATTTCTTTTATGTGTGATATTTTTATTTAGACCAACATTTACTTTTTTGTTAAATGTATACCCTTAATGCTAATAATATAAAATATTTTTAACTACTTTAATCATAATATATTTTGATACTTTTTAATTTATATATATATATATATATATATATATATATATATATATAAATTCTAGGAAATTTGTTGAAAAAGATTATAACAATATCTTAATTGTCAAAAATTAAACATAAATATTTTCACTAATTTCATAATTAGTCATGAAATATTATTATACATTGATATATATATATATATACATATTCAGCTATATTCTATAAAATGAATAGAATAAAATTATATCCATATCTATTTTCTAATAATATCTATATTTTTAAAAGAAAACCGTTTTATTGAACTAAATATGATAAAAAAATTTGAAATTGATATTTATGTTAATAAATATAAAATATTTATTCTAAAAATATAATATGTTCGTAGAATGGGTTAACATTCGTAAAATATATAATTCATGTATAAAAGTCAATTTATCTAAACATTTATATACATTAATTTATTATATAAAGTGAATAAATATAAAAATTGCTAATCTAGTGTTTTGAATTACAGGTTACGATCATAATTAATTATAAACAAAATAATTTTCAAATAGGTTGTTCCATACATAAAAAAATTGATTTAATAATCAAACGCAAATTCAATAAGAAAATATATAATAAGAAGAAACATATATATGTGATGATTTGAATTACATCATAAAAATATGAAATTATTGTATTTCAAATAATAATACAGACATTTAAATATGTGAATAACATTAAAAATATATATTTTGATCCGTAAAATAAATATTTATATATAAACATATACTCGCATGGTTGTGCAGGACGAAATCTAGTTCTTGTTATAATAGTTAAGAAGAGCTATTATGAAATATCATCACTGATAATGTTTTAATTTTTTAATGTTTTCTTTTCTTAAAATCATGTTCATATTTTATATAACAAAAACAAAAGACTGAATAACACAGATTCATGTCTAAATTCTAAAAGAAACAACTATAATTATTCAAATATACAAGCTCGTTGAATTTCAGTCTTAATTGTTGTTGAAATCAAGTATTTTAACTCTGACATCAACATTTGATGAAACAATCTAGCATACAAGGAAAAAAAGGGTTAAAATACCTGTTGGCTTTTGCATTTCACAATTGTAGATATCTCTAACATTTGCGACTTTAAGTAGTTGTGCACCTTACTGATATTTTATGTGAATTAAGGCCATCAGTAATCTGTAATCGTTTTTAGAAACTCTATTCTCATTATTAATTTTAACATTTTAAAAGTATAAATCATTCATTAATTGACTGACAATAAAATTTCTTAAACAATACAGAGACATAGTCTCTCAAAATGAGAGGTTTTCTCCTATTCTCTCTTCATTTTTGTGTGTTTGTATTTTCTTTTATTCTTGATGTTAAGTTTTAATGAAAGTTGTGTTTCCAAGCCCTTTATCAAAAAGAAAGAAAGTTGTGTTTCCAAAAAAGAGACCCTTTGGAAAACTCATCACTGTAAAATTGTAAAAGCCCTAATACAAATTGGGACTATATAATTATTACCATTTGAGTTTTTCATATATACAATTTCGAGTAACGAAAATTAATTTTAACACACATGCAGGGATTTATTGAGTTTCTTTATCGTGATTTATGAACAAGAGTACGGTCTAATCGTCCTTTCATCGTCTACTATTAATATCGATGGGCAACAGCTTACATACCTGGTGACAACCTTCATTACTATATATATGTATATTACTTTAGAATAGTTTTTAGCATTTACAAAAAAGAGATGTTTATCTCTTTTAGTTTGAGAAAACAACCATTAAAACTTTGAACTTTCAAATTAAAGCCCATAAAACTTCCAACTGAGTCAAAAAATTCTCAAATTTTCAAATATTGGCTATTTCAATTCTTATATTTTGTTGACTAGACCATTTAAAAAACCCAAATAGTCAACTGTTGAATTCGATTATAAAAATAAATGTCTGTTTACTTTCTGGACGATATTGTTAAAAAAAAAAGTTAAACGACGTAGCTTTACTTCTTTAAACAATTAAAATATTTTTTCGCAAAACTAAAATCTCAAATCGACTTCATATTCTTCACTCGAAAATAAGAAAGATAAAATCAATTGAGGGTTTTGGCTCGCGAAAAAGATGTTTTAAGTGTTTTTAAAAGTAAAACGACATTATTTAATTGATATTTAATCAATTTTTTGAAATAACTTCGTTTAAAGAGTTAACATACGTATAATTTTTAATCAAATTTAGCAGTTGACTATTCGGGTTTCTTAAGTGACCGAGTCTACAAAATATAAGAATTAAAATGACCAATATTTGAAAGTTGGAGATTTTTTTGGCTCAAACATGAGTTGAAGGTTTTATTAGCTTTAATTTGAAAGTTTACAGTTTTAATGACATTTTTCGTCTTTTAGTTTGATCCAACACGCAGTTTTTAGGAATAAGATGTAAATTTGTTTACGGTATATTATTAATTTATTAAAACATTATCTAATACTTAATTTACTCTCTTTCAATATATTTTTTTTGTTACAAATAATGATGTTTCTATTACTTTAGATAAAATGTTGATACTGTTTAAAATTTATAATCAATTATATAATTTTATTTTTTAACTGGTTGAATAAGATAATTTTATAAAAGTTTAAATCGTATTAGTTTTGGTGTATACTTTAAACATCAAAAAAATAGAGGAAATAGTATTAACACAGTTTTTAATCTGTCACGGCAAAAATGGGGTCAAAGAATTGGGCCATATAATCAAAGTTTCAAAAAAAAAAAAAAAAAAGGTGAGCAATATATCATTTTGCCAATTGCCAACTGCCAATATTGTAAAGTTGAACTGGACTATCGTTTTGCTGCTGCTGAACTATCGATTTCATTTGTCAAATATATGAGCTTTAAGCATTTAATTTTGAAATAAATTTGTATAGAAATAAATAAACTATTTACTATAAGATCTGATTTTGAATAAATGGCGTGATCTAGGAATGTGGTCCTGAAGGAGACACCATATAATTGTCACAGCCTTTCCTTTTTGGACCATTTAATATAATGAAAACTGGACCACTCGTTCCGTATTATCCCCATCTATTCTAAAGATCATATCACTTCACTTATTACCTAATAGTTCCAATCGATTCATGGGCAGGCATCTTGTTATTATACAATAAAGAGTCTATAATGACTTATGGCTACCGACGACACACGAACAAAATATCTAATAGTTTCCTATGTTCTATCATCAACACGGGCCTTGTGAAAGACCTAATACTTATGCGCTACAAGTAAGCCCATTTGGGCTAACTAGTGAAGCCCATTTACTTCAGTTTAAAGCCCATTTAGTTTCTCTATTCTTAGAATCTGTCGGAGCTTTTTCGAATTCAATCGGAGAAGAAGAACGATGATGATCAGAATCCGAAGCAGAGATGGACTAGAGCGAGTGAACATAGAAGGATCTCACATCACAATCTCCCAACTCAAAACCCTAATCCAAAACCAACTCCAAATCCCTCTCCACAACCAAACCTTATCCACCGATCGCAACCTCCTGCTCGCGAAATCCCCCAACGACTTCCTCTCGTTCACCGACATGACGAACCCTAACCTCCCAATCTCCTCCCTCAACCTCTCCCACGGATCAATCCTCTACCTCGCCTACGAAGGCGAGCGCACCATCCGCGGCGGCCCCGCCGTCACCCCCGCCGGCTCCTTCGGGAGGAAGATGACCGTCGACGACCTAATCGCGCGCCAGATGCGCGTCTCTCGCCAGGAGAAGTCTCACTGCGACTCCGTCTCCTTCGATCGCGACTGCGCAAACGCGTTTCAGCGCTACGTCAACGAGTCGCTGGCGTTTGCGGTCAAACGCGGCGGGTTCATGTACGGGACGGTCTCGGAGGAAGGTGAGGTGGAGGTGGATTTCGTCTACGAGCCGCCGCAGCAAGGGAAGGACGATGATTTGATTCTGATGAGAGATTTTGAGGAGGAGAGACGTGTTGATGCGATTGCGTTAGGGTTGGGGATGAGGAAGGTTGGGTTTATATTTAACCAGACGGTGGCGCAGGGTAATAAGGAGTATACGTTGTCTAATGTTGAGGTGTTGTTGGCCGCGCGGCTTCACGCGGAGAGTGAGTTGAAGGAGTGGGTTACGGCGGTTGTGAAGCTTGAGGTTAATGAGGATGGTGGCGGTGGTGCTGATGTTCATTTTGAGGCGTTTCAGATGAGTGATATGTGTGTTAGGTTGTTTAGGGAAGGGTGGTTTGAGACGGAGATTGGACCTGAGGATGATCCTAAGCTCTCTAAGATGAAGAAAGAGGTTGTTGTTGGTGTTAAGGATCTTAAAGAAGTTGATAATGATTTCTTCCTCGTTGTTGTCAAGATCTTGGATCATCAGGTTTGTTCTAAGCCTGCAAGCATGACTATCTTGGTTTAGTTGGTTCTTGGTTTAAAAGATTGAGACTTGGCATATGCTCTGGGAAGTAGTGTTAGGATGATGAGACTAACAAGTAGTAGTGATCCGGCCTCACTTGTGTTTTTACTTCTAAATATGATACAATAGAAGTTGGTTCTCCGTTTTGTTGGTTCTTGGTTTAAAAGATTGAGACTTAGCATATGCTCTAGTAAGTAGTGATAGGATGATGAGACTAGCAAGTAGTAGTGATCGTCACTTGTGTTTTTACCTCTAAATATGATACAGTAGCTTAAGTAAGAATGGAAATTAGTGTAGATGTAAAACATTCATGATTGCTTTATGTTGATTCAATCACTTGTGTCATTCGTTTTGTTTGAATTATGTGTGTGTTTTGCTTGTGCGGTTGACAGGGATCACTGTCGTGTACCTTCCCGATAGAGAACCGAAACAATCAAACCACAATGCGGGATTTGAAAACACATATGGATCGTGCAAGGAGCCTCCCGTTCGTGAAGAGGATCTCTGATTTTCATCTGCTTCTCTTTGTGGCTCAGTTTCTAGATGTTGGGTCAGATGTTCCTGCATTGGCTGAGTGCGTACGTCTTGGGTCTCATGTCCCTGAGGGCTATGAGTTGCTCATCGACTCAATGGCCAATACTTCTTAAATAACACTTCATTTATACACGTCTGTCTTTTTATTTGCTCTCCGTCAGGGTTTATGTACAAACTTTCGTTAAGTGATGTTTAATTCAGAAAATGGAATATCAAAAGCTTAGGACAAGTTATATGAGTATCAAAGCTAGTTTCTTTCTGTTCAAGTTCCATTATACTCCATATAGCAAAACTATTGTTTCACTGCCACATAAATTTTCTTCAAAAAATTAGATTGGAGATGCGGGGGATCGAACCCCGTGCCTCTCGCATGCAAAGCGAGCGCTCTACCATTTGAGCTACATCCCCAATTTGTTTACTTGTTGTTAAACAACTAATTTAGCTATATTATTACACTATAAATTGGACTGGGCTGACGTTTAGCTCAACGTAATGAGGCCCAAAATTAACTGTTGGATGGTTGCTTTCCAAGACCAAAAACGACAAATTAAGGGAGTACAGGAAAAGGTGTTTAAAAAAAACGAGAGGACAGGAAAACAACATACTTTTTGTCGTCTTCTTCAACTTTTGATAGTGGGGAAGACTTTGTTTTAACGCTCGTTTAAAACACATTAGTCCGTCCATAGGCTAACAAGAAAGTCATTGATAGTACAAAAAAGTAATTTTGATATAAATATCTATGATGATATCCGCAGACAAATCTACATGCTGAAGATTTGTGGGTTTTTTTCCACGGCTTGGTTAATTGCATTCAATTTTTCCATCCCAAACGATAGAGGGAAAACATAATTAGTGAATTTTTCTTTTATTTATCTTTAAATAAGAGTCAAATGTGAATACAAAAAAAAATCAAAAGTAAGAAGTGGAAAACGGGAAGCACACGCCTCGAAAAGACAAAATAGAATACGACAAAACTTAAGAAAAAGCCCTCAAATAGACACGCCAATCATATATAGCGTGTTCTGCTAGTATTCTCTTCTTTTCATTTCTCCACTTTTTTTTTTATTGTTTAGCTGCCTCTGTTAACATTTTGGTTCTCATAATAAATCCACAGCTGTCATTTAACATATATATGCCATAAAGTTATAAGGTCATAAACTAACTGTAAATATAAAACGTAGGGTGTTCACGTTATGAACTGAACCATACCAGGGTTTAAACTCATCTTGTTAATAATCAAGAGAAAACACCACAACTCTTTTGGCGCCACATGCCATGGCGTTGGTCGCACGCTGGTTAGTTTTTTTTGTCACCTTCCCTTAACTAATTTTGTTCTTTTTTTTTAAGAATCTGCATTCACATTTTTATAATAATAATAATCTCTCTCTGTCCTTCACCTAATCATAAGTTACAACCATCTATGTTTTTTGTAACCCAAGTTGCAACCAACAATTTATTAAAAACTCCTATATTTCTTTATAGTTAAATAGTTTAAAGCTGCATCTTACTTTCTAGACATCCTATACTTAACTCAAAAAAAAAAACTTAATTCTATATAATATATTATTAGATGATGGGTGATCTTTTGATGAGAACTTTTATTTTCTAACTTGAATATTGCTTACAAATTGTCTTTGTTTTAGTGAAATAGTCGTTTCCATTACCTTAATGGTACCAAACGAAAAAGTATACACTAGTTCTTTTCTCCACTGAGTGTATAGTTATGATAGATAGTAAAATGGTAAAATATAAGAAATAGTGGAATGTAATAGAAATATTACTAGGTGAAAGCAAAATCATTGAAATTATAGTAATAGGTATGCAAAATCATTCTAGATCAATTACAATGTCATAAAATGACGCAAACTATTTCTTGTAAAACATACACATAATCTCTCTGCCAACTCATGTGAGGGAAGGTTTAATAATGAAAAACATTTAATAACGAAGTATATTATTTTCAAAATCAAACATGAAATACTAAAAAATGAAATGTCGGAAAGTATTTAAACATATCCGTAGATTATACTATTGAGGGATAAAAAAAAATTGAGGGTCAAAGGAGCAATTATGAGAGAGCGTGTCGTGCCAATAAGCCAATCCTCTCTCTCTATCTCTCTTCACATGACACCAAAGCCAATCTGCTTCTTCTTGTTTTATTATTGAAAATTTTCATTTAACTAATTTTTCGACATTTTCATTTTACTAATTACTAGTTAGTAGTATTCGTAAATTAACGTATCGCTGTCCTGTAAAGAAAAAAAAAAGAAGAATAAATAAAAAGAAAATAGAAAAATTGAGGGGAAAAGAGGATAGTTGTGTGGGACCCACAGATGGAAAGAGTATAACTCAGTCGTCCGGCCCAATCGTCACCGTCCGATGTGTAATTACATCATCTCCAAACATCTCTCTCACCTTTGACCATATCTCTCTTTCTCTCTATTGGTAGAAAGAAGCTCTGTACTTATATCTCTAGCTCCTTTTTAATAATCTCCATAGCTTCTTCAAAGTATCTTCCTCTCTGTTGGTAACTAGTTTCTGTGAATGACAACTATGGCTGCTGGAAACGAAGTCAACCTTAACGAATGCAAGGTACTTTCCATTTCTGATGTTTCTGAAACCAACCATCCACTTTTGGCTTTGTTTTTCAACATTTCAGTTTCTTAAAACTTTATAAATCCCAAAATCTTGGAATTTAATTCTTTGCCCATGAAGTTTATCATCATCATCATCATAGATTCTTCGTACGGATGATTTATAAAATAAAAAAAAAAATATAAGACGTCCCATCTAACTGTAAAAAAAATCTTCTTCTTCTTCTTCTGTGTTTTTTGTTTCTTTTTGTAGAGAATAGTCCCACTCAACACATGGGTCCTTATCTCCAACTTCAAGCTCGCTTACACCCTCCTCCGCCGTCCCGACGGCTCCTTCAACCGTCACCTCGCCGAGTTTCTCGACCGTAAAGTTCCTCCCAACTCCTTCCCCGTCGACGGTGTCTTCTCCTTTGACCACGTCGACACCTCCACCAACCTTCTCACAAGAATCTACCTACCAGCTCCTCTTGATCCCTCCCGTTACGGCGCCGTCGACCTTACAAAACCTCTCAGCACCACAGAGATAGTACCCGTTCTTGTTTTCTTCCACGGAGGTAGCTTCACTCACTCCTCCGCCAACAGCGCCATCTACGACACTTTCTGCCGACGGTTAGTGAGCATATGCGGCGTTGTTGTTGTCTCTGTTGATTACCGGAGATCGCCGGAGCATCGTTACCCTTGTGCTTACGACGATGGATGGAGTGCTCTCAAATGGGTCAAGTCCAGAATCTGGCTTCAGAGTGGTAAAGACTCCAAAGTTTATGTTTACTTGGCGGGAGATAGCTCGGGTGGCAACATAGCTCATAATGTTGCTGTTAGGGCGAGTAAGGAAGGAGTTAAAGTGTTGGGGAACATTCTTCTTCATCCTATGTTTGGTGGGATGGAGAGGACTCTGTCTGAGAAGAGACTTGATGGTAAGTACTTTGTGACTATTCAAGATCGAGATTGGTATTGGAGGGCTTTTTTGCCTCTAGGTGAAGATAGAGATCATCCTGCTTGTAATCCCTTTGGTCCTCGAGGTCAGAGTCTAGAAGGAGTTAATTTCCCCAAGAGTCTTGTCGTTGTGGCTGGTTTAGATCTTGTTCAGGATTGGCAATTGGCTTATGTTCAAGGGCTTCAGAAGACTGGTCATGATGTTAACCTTTTGTATCTGAAGCAGGCTACGATTGGGTTTTACTTTTTGCCTAATAATGACCACTTTCATTGTCTTATGGACGAGTTAAGGAGGTTTGTGCATTCGGTAGAGGATGATAGTCTAAGCAAGTCAAGTCCTATTCTTCTGACTCCATAGGAACATGAAGGTCTGTGTGCTCTTATGTTGCTGTTCTATACATAAAAGAGAAGAAGAAGAAGAAGAAGAAGAGGATTGTATGCTCGGTTTGTTTTGAGTAGTGCTCGTGTGTGTAGTGCTCGTTCCTCAGTCACGTTTTTGTGTCTTCATTAGTCTCCTGGAGCATCATAAGTCTGGCTTATCGGAAGCAAAAGCCAGTTCTGTTATTGGCATGTATCCCTAAACCGGGAGATGATGGTAGTTTGTTTGGTAGTATAGGAGATAGTCTTTAATTGGGTCTAGAATACAAGACAACTAATATGTCTTCAACATGTTGTGATAAAACTTATCCTTGGCATGGATTTGTATGTTTATATTAACCTTTTTTGTGTTCAATGCTTTTAGACTTTTAGTAGAAAGAGCATGTCTTTGTGATTCTAGTTTTTCACGTTATTCTAGTTTTATTTTAGTTCATGCATTGAAGGTTTTTTTGCCTCACAATAGACAAATCTTTTAAGGATTTCCAACTTCATACCTTTGAAGCATTTGCTCAGCCTTTGCTATAATTGTGACAAAAACATATAAAAAGAAAAAATGATCCAAAGGTCTAAGAGAAAACCCTAGGGAAACATTACAGTGGCGTTTGAGTGAGTAATAAAGAAAGAAGGGGAAATAAATGTGAGAGAAGAAAAAGACAAGTGTTGTGTGTGCATTTGAGGCAAAAGCTTCACAATGCCAAAACCAAACCCCATCCACCCATATGAGAGAAAAAAGCTTACGCAACCAAATTTAATATATATTAAATAATGTTGGACAAACGGTCAAAATCAACAATAGATTTTTCTTTACTATTCCTTACAATTACTTTGGCATCTTTTGCTTATTGCATCTTCTATTTGCATGTATTTGATTTGGAACTTTTGTCGTTTCCTGGTAGTGGTTTTGAACTTTGGGAGGCAAATTGGACCACCTCTTAGAGAAAACAATTTTATTTTGGCTACATATGCTTGTTTCTACGTAATTCTACATTTCTTTATATTATACCATTTATAACCACGGCTTATGTGTGATTGTTTTGTTATGTACTTATGTCTTTTGGATGCCAAGTGGTAGGGACATGGAGGCTTGGAGAAAACAAAGAAAAGCGATTCTTTCTGCTTTGTCTAGTTGGTAGCTTTTTTCTATATAGCGAATGAGAAAAGAAGAGGATAACACTTTACTGGTAACTTGTTACTTTGAATACAATTTTATTTTCCCGATTAGAATTTGACTTTTTAGTCCTAACATCTTTCAAAATTTTATTTTCTAATGCTGTTTTGTTTTTTCATATTGTCAAAATATTACTTATGAGTCTATGACCGAACTTTTGGCTTATTGATGCGTCATTGACAAAGACTCTCGTTTGTCTTGTAATGATACTGTCTTGCCAATTACTTGGGGGGAGGGGGGGGGAGAATGTCTCTATTTTTAGTTTATTTTAGTGGGAATATTTCTTAAGCAGTTATTTCTCTTATTTATAGCTCCAATTAACTAGTTCTGTGTTTGGAAAATATTTGATTTATCATTTTGTAATGGTCGTTTCCATTTGGTTTTGTAGTCATTAATTCTAACAAAATTAACTTTAAATTTGTTTAGTGATTTCTCAACATCTTCTGGCTTGTCCATAATTCATTAATTTGTCGTTTGCACTAAGATTCCTTCATTTGTCAATGGATTAGCTTTGTCGTTTGGTGGACTATATTCAATAGACGAGCACATCATCTAAAGTAACTCTGAGCTTAAAGGTTTGGTTTGATGAATCTTTTTTTAGTTTCCTCCAAAAGAGATATCAATGACTTTTGGGTATTACCTATCTTTAGTTCACATGTAAGAGTTTAGATGATCTTTAGGTCAGCTGACCTGATGGTGACTGAGCCGTAGGTCATGTTATAGGAAATGACATCAAAGGGGATATGAGTTTTGCGTTGATACTATATGTAAACAGTAAGTTATAGACATATACAGGAATCCCACTTGCTATTCACCATGCCTTGCCTATCTACATGTCCTCCATATTAAACCAAAAAAGGAGGAGATGGCAAAAGAGAAATAGGAATTCCATTTAGCATTCATGATCCTCATGTTAAATCTTGCCAAAACCTATCGAAAATGTGTATGTTGGAAGCAAACCATTGAGATCTTGAATTCTTTGTTTGTTTTCTTTAGCCGTCTAATTAAGTTAGGTTTAGGTTAGTTATGCAAAATTGAAATTTCAGTGTTGGGTCTTCTTATTCACTCGAACTTGTTGATCTGTCTCTATGGTACTTTCTAACGATGTTCCCACTTTTGTTATTGTCACGTTTCATTTCGCCGTGAGTCACGTGTAGTGGAAACAAAATAACAAGATTGCTGTCATTGGAAGACGTAAGCCCCGTTCTGTTAAATCCAATAAAGGACTAGCCGGAAAAGTGGGCCGGGAACTTACCTGGATCCGAACTTAGACGAGCCCATTTGACCCATTCACCTCGTTCCCAGTGACATTTGTAACATTTGCATATTCCAAGAAATATAAAGATAACAGCTCACGATGTGGGATATTTTGCGAGCTGGCAAATTGAACCAGGTAACCTTAATATAGACTGAAGAAGATTCATAATTAAGGGCTGCAGTATGTCGTTTATGCGAGCCTATAGTTGACTAATAAAATCATTTTAACTAATTGTTCATGGGTTAGCCAGATCCTTGCAATATATAGTTCACGGGCGACTCATGAATCCCAAACAGCAAGCTACTTAAATGGCTTTCTCCCTTAAAAATTGAGTGTGGTCTGATGAACATGTGTCTCTAATAAGTCATGTGAGAAGATTACTTTATTTTCAAAGACAAAAATAAAACGTCACGATTTCTTTCAAGGTAAATCTCCAAAATAACATTTTTCTAAGTTTATGTCATAAAATATCATTCAAAAACTAAAATGACCAAAATAACATTTTATTTTCTTAAAATTTTTAAAATTTTTTATTGAAATTTTATCCCGAAAACCCCACTTCTAAACCCTAAAACCTAAATTCTAAACCATAAACCATAAATCCCACCTCTTAACTTTAAACTCTAATGTCTAAATTAATTTATCATAGGATAAAAATGTATATTTATCTCATTTGATAAAATATTAAATGTTATTTTGATTATTTTTATTTTTAAGTGTTATATTTGTGATAAAATGTTTTTTTAGTACTTTTCTAGTCATTTTTTTCTTTCAATCCCGCCTTGTTTCTTCCGGTGGTCTTATATATTTTCCACGTTAGTAAGTTGGTTATTCTTGATCAATGAGAAACTGTGAGCTAGTGATAATTGAAGCTTAGTGAGATCTCAATGGGCAGATGATATCAAGTAATATTTGTTGGGCTCCTGTAATAATGCAAACTTTGAGAATAAACACTAGTTTTGCTAACTCATGATTATACTATCAACGAGGTTAACATTCTTCTCCTGAGAAAATAATTTAAGTCACTATTGAAGCTCTAAAGAAGGTCTTCACTGGAACCGATGCTTATTTGATGATTTCTCATAATTTTCATGGAAGTAGGCTTTAAATTTATGTTTATTCTTGATTTCATCTTCAGATACAACACACAAATGAAAGAGACAATGTTTTATTCTTTTTCCTTTTAACATTCTCATATATAATGTTGGTCTTGAGATGTTGGGGCCGTAGGAAATTTAGTAAAAAAATCCTTTATATATAAATTTGTTTTTTTTTAACAAATTTAGAGGTGTATATCAATGTATTTTTTCAAAAATTTTAGGATCTCTAGACAAATATTTCATTAGACTTGGACCATTACACTGCTCAGGCGTTGTGTGCTATAAAATGTTAAGTACAGTAGATGGGAGTGAGTAGGATAAAATAATAAAAGCTAACATACGCACATACGGCGCACGCTAAACATATGTAGTTTGAAAACATTACAAACCCTACACCGACCGAACCCATTAGAATTATCAAATTCAATCAAAACAATCGTCATATCGATTTCGTGTGCGAATCTTCTTCTTCTTTCCCCAAAGGCGAATCAATCCACAAACAATCGTCTTTTTCGATTAGGGTTTACGAGAGTCGTCACCACGCATCTTCCCTCGATTGGATTGGGGATTATTTCAATGCCTGCAATTTCTTCAGCGGAATCAGTCACAGGAAACCC